TTCCATAGTCTCACTTTACGTAGCCTCGCCTTATGTGGACCCGCTTTCCATAGTCTCGCTTTACATATAGCTTTGCTTTGGCTAGTTTTGCTTCAAGTAGCTTTGCTTTCCATAGTCTCGCTTTTAAACACCTTTGCTTTACATAACTTCACTTTAAATCGTCTCGCTTTACGTAGTCCTGCTTTACGTAGCTTTGCTTCAGCCATACGATTCAATTCAACAATATTCCTTTATCTTCCCAACATTAATATTTCACAATTCATTGCAACGATTATACCATACTAATCTCAACGAAAAATAAAGAAATATCGCTGACCACAGCAACAAAACGATTAATAAGCTACCGTTCGGTAAAGTGTGAAGACTTGAAGCCGTCTCCCCGTCTTCAAGTTGCTCATGTTTCCTCGTAAACGAGAGAGACGGTCGATGCCAGCTGAAAAGCCCCGCACTCCGTTTCAAAGGCGAGAGCGTCGCGTTACCTCAAGGGATAGAGGGACGTAGGATGACTAAAAATTGGTACCCTCTTGCTCGCGGGTGCCTCTTGGTGGGTAGTACTCACGTAAGCAGTGACTAGTGAGGTAAACTCGAGTGTCTGAGGGGTGGTCGAAGGGAAGAAACGGAGAGCTCCAGGCGAGGAGTAGTCGTTCCAGCTGGTGCAAGGAAGGAGGGATAGTAGTCGACCGGGGATGTTGCCCTGGGGGTAGGAGAGGAAGTGGTTTTTCCTCGGTCTGAGCATTCCGTAGACGATACGTGCTCTTGCAGCTTGGCCAGCTTCGTCTTGATTCGCATGCCTTCTACGTGCAAACACCCTCAAACACACGCGAACGATCATCTACATACAATTCTATGTATATACATACACCCGGCTTTGCCTTCGTTCGTCGACGGCTCACACGAGTCCTACAAACACCTCCAAACACGTACAAACACGTACAAACACGTACAAACCCATACATACACGCGATCGAACATACACACACTCCTAGCTCCGACTTGGTTCGCCATGCGACTCCTACATACTCGTAGAAACACGGAAATACACACGGACAAACGTCTACACGCGAAGAATAAATGTGTATGCGCATACACATTCAAACCTACACGCGGATACGAGGCTGTCTCTTTCCTTCTGGCTAGAGCTCCCCTCGCCTCCCTTTTCCTTTCTTCTCCGTCCTCTCTTTCTAACTTTTCAACGCGCACGCGGCCCACCGGCAAGAAGTAGACAATTCACAATTAGCAAACACAAACAGAAGTACGAGTGGCTTCAAGTTGCTTGGGACGCGGTGGCAACGGGCTTAGCCGGAAGCAAACGGTGGGGCAGGGACTTCTGGGATGCGAAGCGACTAGCTTGGCAGTCCCTGAGCGTCAGCCTCCGCTCCAGAATACTCTTCTCCACTCCCGGCCCGACAGAGACCGTCGAAGGCGCATGTATGCTTCGGAGATAACGGGTGTTGTTATCTTTTTCTTTTTTTCTACGATTTGACATTTCGGTTTTCATGAAATATCAAATCTTCGGTCGGTCTCTAAAGTGGACTTTCGTTTAAATTTGAACAAATTCACGCGAACATCGCACGTGAACATCGCGCGTGAACATCGCGCGTGAACATCGCGTGTGAACATCGCATCTAAAATTGCAAAATTTTTATACTGTTTTTAATCAAATTGGGATGGTCCATAATTTCTATTTTTTTTTTTTTTTTAGTGGTTTATAGTATCATTTTTTGTAATATGTCAAATTTTCAAAAACTTCCTAAATCGCATTTTCATTTAAATTGAAAAAATTCATGTGAACATCGCATGTTTCCCAAGAGTCTAAATTGCAAAATTCTGATATTGTTTTTCACAAAATTGGGATGGTCGATCATTTCTATGTTTATTTTATTTTTAATGGTTTATAATATCATTGTCTTATGACACGTCGAATTTTCAGCAACTTCCTAAATTGCATACAAATTTCCATGTCCCATAAGTAGACTGCGGATCTTTATGGAAAATAAAATCTTCGCAAACGTGCCTACAAAAATTGAACCAAAATAGCAATTTATTTTATTCTGCAAATATTACAACATGAACTTTACTTTCAATCTTTTTTATATTCTTGCATATTGTTTGGATTTTGTACGTGTTTCCACACACTCAAATTTCCTGCAAATCCGCAGTCTTACCCATAAGGATCTGTGACACAACTCGAAAATTTTTACACCATTTTCCATCAAATTGAGATGGTCAATTTAAATCGAAACAGGTCCGTACGATTCGTATATAATCAAAGAATAGTTAAGCGAAGTTTTGTTAAAATCGTCCGTTAAGTAAGTCCGCGGGACCTTAATTCCCGGACTCGCGCCTTTGATCATTTTCTAATGGGTTTCAAGGGGATGGTCCCGAGAATCCGTCTCCCCTAATCGATCAACCGTACGGTTTACCGGTCCCTGTCTGAACGTACACCCGGTATATGCGCGCATCGGGCTCTCACCGTTGCGTTGGAACACTTGAAGCCCCAACCAGTTACGGCAACAATAGGCTTTGTCTTCGCGCCGTCGACGCTCGCAAATTGGTAGAAATCTTGATTAAAGGTGCAATTCCGCTGCTGCCTACGGACAAATATGAATTGCACCCCCGATTCTCCCCCCCCCCTCCCTCTCCATACCCGCCCCGGCCTCCCACCTCTCCTCTTTTTACCCGTTCCGACAGATGAAAATGGAAAAAACGTGTCGCGGTACCGCTTCTTACCGCGCCGACGAATTCGCGGCTTTTCGAGAATCGGAATCGGACATTCCCGTAATTGAATGCTAAGATAAAGTACCGAGTAATTGAACGCCGCGAGAAATTCCACCGATTGTTCCAGAGTTGCGCT